GGGGGCGGGTAGAGGCAGAAGCAGAAGGAGAGAGAGAATCTCAAGCAGGCTCCATGCTGAGTGTGGAGCCGGACATGAGGCTCAATTGCCCGACCCTGAGACCATGACCTGAGCTGAAATCAGGAGTCAGACACTTAACTGACTGAGCCACCCAGGCGCCCTGATACAGCCAAATCTTGACTTTTTCTGTCTCAGTTCCCTCTCTCTGCTTTGATCCTCCCCATTTGCTATACTTTTGACTAGGCTGTCCAGCCACTGGCTTCAGGGTGGGGAGAGAGGAGTGGGTGGCCAGAGGGAGCATGGCCCCGTCCCAGCCCTACCTTGTCAGGGAGGTGGCAGCAAGTGACAAAACTACATCCTTGCTGCAGTTGTCATTTTAAAACTCAAAGGTTTTCAAACATAAACAATTACAGTGATTCAGCAATTAAAAAAACCCAAAGAAATCCATCTTTCAACATCAAATCATGGCTTACGGTCTATGTTTCTATTTCTTCAGATCTCAAATACCACTTCTGTTCTGAATATGAAAAATAGGCCTACATTTTGAAAAAGAAGACTGTGTGGTCAGTCAACCATGCAAGGTCTGGCCTAAGGCCACAGCTCATGCTCTCACCTGGTGAGCCAATGCCCCAGGTCAGGCCGGTGGGCCCACTGCACACCCGTCTGGTTTAGTGACCGCAGCAGCCGACAGCAGGTAAGTATCACCCATGGGCTTGCTAACACCATCCACTTCTCACAGCCTCTGAGCGTGTCAAGGGAAGTGGGGTCCTTAGACACTCTGTGGGGCTCTAACATGTTACAGTGGATGCTCCTGTCCTGTAATGCTGGTGCAGTGCTGACGAATCCCTCCTCCATGTGTGAGCATTGCTGGGGCTCACAGTCGTCCCTCAGAAAGCAGTTTCTGTAGATTTCGTGACACAGAGCCAGACACAGGGTGTTAATGAGGAAATACCAGGTCTGGTGCTCCTCCTCGATGAAGCTGCTTGCACCCAGACTCAGCACGTGGCCCACGGTCCCGAGTAAGATAAGAACATCTAACTCCGACCATCGTGCCTTTGGATGAGCTGGATTCTGTAAAAGGAAAGTGCATTTTGTGAGGAAAAATATAAAAATTACACAAATCCTACCACATGCACTTCCAAGTTCTTGCTCACAGAGCATAACCTGCTGTGACAGGTACGTGCTGCTCCTCACGCCCCACACCCATCTCCTGCACTGATGGGACTGCCTATCCTCCTGGGGCATGGGCAGTTGTCTCCCTGGACTGCGAGCCCTAAGCTGAGCGACCCACGCCATCTGGGCAGTGCTGCAGCTCAGAGAGCTCACCTACCAGCCCTTCTGGAACTCTCCTCACCCTTTCCCGGGGAGCCTGAGGTCCTCAGGGGTGGGCCATAGTCAGTTCCTGCTATTTGAAACCAAAGAACCCCCAGGATATATTCCACCAAAGCAGACATCTAATTTTGCCATGACTTTTCCAGAAATCCAGACAGTTTTCATTAAAATGGTCAATTCTATTGAAACAAGAAAGTTGGCATCACAGTACTATCCTTTAAATATACTAACTGAAAGCATTTAAAATTAAAGATGAGGATTTAATGACTGTCATTTGATAACTACTTAATAATATTTACTCTATTTATCGTGTACAGCGGTATAAGAAAGAAAGAGAGAGATCATGAATCTATTTAGGCCCCAGGGAATCAAATGGCTCTAGGGAAACCTATGCTCTCTAATGGGGAACAGAAATGTGCTATAAACAACAACCCGTGAGTTCCTCAGACACACGCACGCAGGGAGGGGCATCAGATGGCTTCAAGATGAGGCAGCTGCACTGGGGGTGGGGGTGGGGGGGCTGGAGTCACTTCCCTGAGTCCCTTGGGCTCCTGGCATCATGGACCAACCGTGGCTGTCCACCTCTGCTTCATTGGTCTGCCACCACAACCATGAATAAAGGTGTCAGAGGCCAAAGATTCTAAGAAATCTGAAGGAAAACATCAGTCTTGAAAAGAAAAGGCAGGATGGACTCCCAAGGAGGGCAGGATGAGGACAGGGTCCCGGCCTCCTGCTGACCTTCCTAGAAGGTCTAACGAGCTGACTCTTTTCTCTCGGTAACGTTCTTCCCTTGGCTGCCGCTCAAACTCTTTCGGAGAGATGTCTGATTCACACACTGCCCCAGCAGCCAACTGCCTATTCTTCTGTGACCAACAGCTCTGTACAGTGTCATGTTTACGGTCACAGGGACCCTGTCTTTCCCACGAAGAAATGAGGCACGTGACCTGACAACACAGATCGGAGTGTCTGAAGTCAGGATGCTCAGCTGTCGGCCCCTCTGAAGTGGCTCCTTGACTCCGCCTGATACACAGCTGGTGTTTAGCCAGTGGCTGATGAATGAAACATCAGCTGAAATACGAGAAAATGGCCTATTCCAAAAGCCAGTGTCCTATGTGTAGGAACGAGCCTTACCTTGCTCAGGAATTTTCCAGAGGCAAACATCTTGGCAAGAGCAGACACGACTGCACAGAGCAGTGCAGAGATCAACGCCATCACTCCGCCTGCTGTCAGCCACGAGAGGCCACAGAAATAGCAGGAACTCTCGGCCGAGGTGCACACAATGACGTGAAGAGCAGAAAGAACCAGGAACATCAAATAAAAGAGCAGAGAAAACGCAGGCGACCAGAGAGGAACCTCCAGTTCAGCCTTGCTGCTCAGAGCTTGCGGGATGCTGAGTAGGAGCAGCGCTAGAACCTGGAATAGGAAAACAGCAGCAGTGTCCACGCCTGCTGGGCTTGGAGAGAACTGTTCAGAAAAAGCCTGTCTCCTGACCTTGTGCCAGCTATTCGACTGCTGGAAACAGAAGAAGAAAGCCCACTGAACACGATTTCTGATGACCTACCAAGAACGTACACATGCAGCCATGTGGAGCACAGCCACTTGACGCCTGACGATACTTTGGGCGTGACGACAGACAATGAAAGAGTTCAACAAACAAAGAAACTGGTATTTTCCCATTTTCAGAAAAAAATAATACTTTATATGCTTTAAACTACAATATCCTGGCTGAGATATCAAATCAGTTTAACGGCTAAGCCATAACTCCACACAAGCTCCCGTACCTCCAAAACCATGACAGTCCCCACCAGCATCGAGTAGATGTCGTACTGGGCCACTTGTCTGCTCAGGGACAGGCTCAGGGTCCTCAGGGCATCCAAGTACTGCCTTCGAACCTTGGCTCCCAGGTTGAAAAGGACTTCTGAGTTATTTTCCTCCAAGTACAGTCTGATCCAGTTCCCATGCAACCTCTCTGACATTTTAAACTGCTCAAATCCAGGCTCTAACAAGAAGAGGACAAGGTTACACATACAGATCACAGACATTCACGCACATTTCAAAGTATTCAGTTATTCACAGCACGTGGTGTGAGCAGAAAGCCTGCTACCTAATGAAGATGAACTATTCCTTAGGGGGTGGCCAACAACGCCTTCAGTAAAACAACAGCCAATGGTGCTCACGAATCCTCGGACCTCCTGCCTGCCTGCCAGCCCGCCACGGCCCGAGGCACAAAGCAGCACACGACATGGATACAGGTGTCTGCCCACTGCTCTGCCGCCCTTTCTCTCCCTCCCACACCTGCCCTTGCCTCCTCCTCCTCCCCCTTCTCTCTCAGTCTCTCTCCAAGCTTTTCTTCTTTCATATGCAATATAGAAACACCCCAGGGACGCCTGGGTGGCTCAGTCGGTTCAGTGTCTGCCTTCGGCTCAGGTCATGGTCCCAGGGTCCTGGGATGGAGCCCTGCTCGGCGGGGAGCCTGCTTCTCCCTCTGCCTCTGCTGCTCCCCGTGCCTGTGTGCACTCTCTCTCTCTGACAAATGAGTAAATAAAAAAATTTTTTTTTAAAGGTTTTATTTATTTGACAGAGAGAAACACAGCTAGAGAGGGAACACAAGCAGGGGGAGTGGGAGCAGGAGAAGCAGGCTCCCCGCGGAGCAGGGAGCCTGATGCGGGGCTCGATCCCAGGACCCTGGGACCAGGACCTGAGCTGAAGGCAGACGCTCAACGACTGAGCCACCCAGGCGCCCCAGTAAATAAAATGTTTAAAGGACAAAACCAAAAACAACCTAGAAAGGCATTACATTAATAGGCCCTTGGTGTTACAAATTTCCCACCTTTGACCTGCTTCCCTTCTTCACGTGGCCTGACCCCTCCTGCCATGATGCCGAGCTAGAGGACCCAACCCGACGCACAGCTAGGGCTGACAGAACAGCTCCTGGATTGAAGCCCAGCCCCAAATGCTGCTGGCTCCCACTCTGGGATGGCAACGGCAGGCAGCTCAGCATCAGGAAGCTGCCTTGCTTCCTTCTGGAGTTGGACCAGACTTACTGGTGACTCAACTAGTCTGCAAAACAAGGACTTCCTTTCTGAGACTCCATGGTATTTATTGTGCTCTTCCGACTTCCAGCAGAGCTATTCCAAGGTGGTCTAGGCCATGTCTTGCAGGATTAGGGTTAGGGTTGCTGTATAACCCTGAGCACAGCCCAAATGCCTGAAGCCCTGCCATGCTGCGGAGACCAGGTGACCAAGTGCTGGTGGCCGGCGTTACTCCAAGCCCCTCACGCCTGTCCTCTCCCCATGACCTGAGATGGGGTGACGACCATGCCCACCCCAGAGAGAAGGCACGCAGACACCAGCTCATGGGCTGGCAGGTGACGGCTGGGATCTAAACTCAAGTAGTCTGGATCTAGGATGGAACCCTTGTTACACCCCACCATCCTGAAGTCACAGAGGCAGGGGCACCTGTGGCTGTACCCAGAATCAGAGACACAGGGGCAGCAGTGTCTGTACTCCACCACCCAGAACCAGCAAGAAGTGGACGCCTGCGTACGTATCCAAACAAGTATTTACTGAGCACTGACTACATGCTACGCGCAAACAGGTACGGTTCTGCCTGCTTGGGCCTGTGATCTAGCTGGGTTCTCACATGCGTGTGTAAGTACAAATCGTGAAAAATGCTGTGGAGGAAAGTAGGGGAATGGGGGTGACTTTTGGTAACACTGAAGAAACTGAAATCTGGGGTTGAGGGTGGGGGACAAGAAGGTCTGACACCGAAGCTGAAGTGGAAGGTGGCCCAGAAATCCATCAGGTGATAACTGGGGAAGAGCATCCAGTCTATGGGAGGAGCGTGTGCAAAGGTCCTGAGGTGAGAAAAGTCTGTACAACTGTAATAAAAGTCAGGGGAGCGATGGAAGAGTTGTATCAGATTGGGCTGGATATCAGGGGAGGCCTTGAAACTGACTTCAGTGTCAGACATGTACCCAGTTTCGTCTCAGGAAACAGGATCACTGATCGTATAGACAAAGGGCTTTCTCATGCCAGGGACTGGCCTTTGCTCATCTCATAGGGTTCTTTCTGGCCACACGCACTGCAGAGCTTCATTCTCCCTACTGATCCTCCTGAAATAAGCAAAAAACCCCCATTGTGGTTTTGTTTGGTGTTTTATTGGTTGTTAGTACAGGAAAAAGGACATATTACCAATAACAAATTTGCAAAAGCTACCAAACTCACAAGTTACTTTTGAAAACAAATAAAGTAACTATTGTCTCTCCCCTGGACTGAAATGTGCAACTGGGCCAGCCTCACTTTTCACACAGTTGCTCTCACAGGGGCCACCTCACCGACAAGGGGCTGTCCCCCTAAGCTCTCCCACCATTCAGGACACCCGGCACCCCACTAGTCCTTGCTGGTCTTCACAGGCAAGTCAAGACCAGCCTACATCTCAGCTCAAACTCATGGGCATTCACTCTACTAACTAGTACTCCACTTTCTCAAGTAGGAAAAGTTGCCAACATCACATTAAATGCTGCCTCAAACTAGGCGTTGAAACCAGCCCCAGTCCCAGCACCAAACATGTTGTCCTTGATGCACCTTGATGGTCAGATCAATTGTTTGAAAAGATGGTCCTGGGGAGATGTGCTCTCTTGTTCTGGATCATTCCTACCAGCATAGAAATACCCCTTAGCTTCTCCCAGCTTAAAAATATAAACAACAGGGGCGCCTGGGTGGCTCAGTCGTTAAGCGTCTGCCTCCGGCTCAGGCCATGATCCTGGAGTCCCAGGATCGAATCCTGCATCGGGCTCCCTGCTCAGCGGGGAGCCTGCTTCTCCCTCTCCCATTCCCCCTGCTTGTGTTCCCTCTCTCACTGTGTCTATCTCTGCCAAATAAGTAAATAAAATCTTTAAAACAGATACATAAACAACATACCCTGCGCTGGCCTCCGTCCACCTCACACAACACCCATTTCCACGCCCCACTTCCTTCCCTGCCCTGACTCCAGCCCAGCCTTCCCCCAGCACTCTACAGGCACCGCTCCTGACAGAGTCGCTGGTAACCTCACCTGCGAGATGAACGGTCAAGTCTTGGTTCCTCATTTCATCTAACCTTGAGCAGCATTCAACTTGGCCGCTCACTCCTCCCTTCCTAAAATTCTTTCCTTTACTTGGCTTCCTCAACACCAATCCCCTCACCCCGCAAGCACCCCACTCCCACACTTCAGTAATGGTCACCCCATTCTTCCACTGCGCTGCTGAACACGCCAAGCTGCTCCTTACGCCTCTGGTTCACCTGCACCTTATACCCAGTGCATCGGCAAATCCTGCTTGCACTGCCTTCAAAATATACCTGGAATGCTGCCATCTGTCCTGGATATAGCACGCCACTGCCTGGGCCCTCACCACACCTCTCACTGGGGTACGGCAGCAGCCTTCAGACTCTCCTACAACACAAGGCAGAACCCTCCACACGGGCACCCGAGAGAGCCTCTGAGGATGCAGCAGAAGGCTGCATGAGCTCCCCACCTAGCTCATGACACAAGAGCCCCTCCAGGCCTAAAAGGCCCCCATATCCCTCTGACCTCGTCTCCTTCTGCCTTGCCCCAGTTCACCCTGCTCCGGCCACTCTGTCCCCTGGTCACCCTTTGAATGTGCAGACACGTCCCCGCTGTAGGGTCCTGCATCTGCCACACACTCCGAGTCTCAAAGGCCAGGCCTCTGCCCCGACAGCCCTCAGCCACCTGCGCTCCCCGTCCCTTCCCCACTCCACCCTTCTTCTGAGGCACTCATCACCATCTGATAGCTGCTGCCGCTTCTCCGCATGGGGGCAGAGCCCTATGTCTCAGGTGCCTTTAACAGTTCTCAGCCAGATAGGAACTTAGTGAAAAAATTCCGTATTTGTTGAACGAATACATTTATGAAAGAGCTTGATGTAGATCACTGTATCTGTGGGTGCTGCTAACGGTGACCATCAGGGTTCTAAGAAAACCGAAGTACAGTCAAAGACTGAGATGAACACAGGAGAACACCAGGTGCAGTGGAAACAGTCTATTAACTGAGTTACCTTTTGTGTATGACGGCACGTTCTCTTGCAACAATTTGCTGAGCTGCACTGCATTTAAATGTAAAAACCTCAGCTGTTCTCTCACCGGTCTCCCTTCCACGGTAGGGAACAGGAGGCTGCCGACACTGTTCCCTGGGATCGGCAGACCAAGCCCTATTGCTAGGGTTGCAGCCAAGTCAGTCTGTTGAACATGCTTTGGACGTCTGATGTCACCTAGAGAAAAGAAAGTGGTTTATGTGACAGGCTCTCTAATGTGTATGATGGTGGTCCTTCCCTTGACCTGCTATGATCAATTGCGCACCTCTTCAAAGCATTCCATGTACATTCATCAAGAAATCACCTCACTGGTGTTTCTGTCAACAAACTTACTAAGCACTCATTCTGTGTGGGCACGGGGCCTTCCGCAAAGTAGCATACAATATGTGGGAGAGATACCAGCACAAGAAACTCAATATTGCCTGAGTTTCAGGGCTGGGGCTGGGCATGCAGAGAGAAGGGAGCTCTGCAGATGCGGAGGGATGGTCGCTTTGGTGAGGCCAACAGTCAACCTCCTGAACCAGGATGATGGTGGGATCTCTGGCGGCCCCACCCCCGTGGGTTCAGAGAGGTCTACATAGCACTGAGAAATGAACACAGGCATCTCAGCGGCTCTTGAGCAGTAGAAGGCACCTCTAACTGGGGAGAGTAGAATGAGGCTGGATTCAGCTGGGCCGAGTCCTATAACCAACTCCAACAAACAAGACATCTGCCTACTGATGGCCCCAGCAATTGAAGGGCTTCAAGTCGTAGCAATGGCTGGCCTCCCTACTAACCCTTGCAAGGAGAATGGGTGTCACAGCAGGGCACTGGGCTCACACTCCTGCTTTGCCACTATCTAGCTGATGCCTTGGACAAGAACTCGACTTTGTTAGACTTTTCTCATCTGTAAAGAGAACACCCAGCACCCACCCCCGCCCCCCAGCCGCCCCCGCCTCCCCCCTGCGCAACTACAATATAGGTCTGAGGGGACCTGAGGGGGCCACCAGGGAAGTCTACCCCGGGGAGCTGGTGCTTGGTGGGAGTACCTTAGACACTCTAGTGTGGGTTTGTAGAGGTTTTACTTTGATTATGGTACTTTTTGGTTGTATAGAATTTTTCTTTTTAATTTGGTCAAATATATTAATCTTTTCTTGACCAACCCTCCACTGATGGCTTCTGGGTTATACTTAGAAAGAACCTTCTACTCCAGTATTATCATCTGTTTTCTTCTAGTATTTTCTTATATTAATCAAAGATTAAGCTTTGATCTGAAACAAAACAAAACCCAAAGCAAAAAGCCCACCTTAAACTGCTTTTGGCACTGATAAAGGTGGTGGTGCTGGTGTTCTACCGAGACTACTGTGGGTCATTATATGATACTCATATCCAGGCTATTGTAGACCACCAGGATCCTAAGGTTGGGAGAAAGAGAGAACAGACGGAAGATCTAAGAATTTCATTTTACAGTAGTGAATGTGGACTGCAAGTAATAAGACAAGCTCAAGACCAATTTTATCTTAAAAAGATTTCCTTGCTTTGTCCAGAAATGATAATTATGCAAATACCCATGAGTGCTGCTAGCTCTGAGACGGTGGTCCTCAAAGATCCCTTTCCACTGAAAGGAACGAGGGAATCCTGGAAAAGCAGCTGATTCCAGGTCTACGCAAGGAACTGTGCACGAGAGGCTGGAACAACTTTTCAGACCCGGCAACAACAGAGCCCTCAGAGATACGAAGGTGTTTGAGACCTCCAAGCTGGAAGGACTCAGGAGCTAATCTGAATCAGAGGCTCCTACTGGCCAAAGATGGGACAATCTGAATATTAAAAAGAATAATATTTGTACTGAATTGAAACAAACTATGCTTAAATCCATGAGCTTACAATGCTACTGAACACCAACAACACAAAACCCTAATTGGTTATAGTTGAAGCACACTAGTGAACTCACAGTGAACTAATTCATTGATTTGAAACTGGAAATTAAGTGGAAAGAATAACTCATCTTTACTCCTATCTCTGTTACAAAAATGGTACTGCTAGGTAATAAAGTAGATTGGGGAAGATGCTCCTTACAGGATTAGTCTGTCCAGTTAATGAAAAAAAGAATTAGACAATTAAAGTATCACTGTTTGCAACCTCCAGTGAATTACTAGTTGGTCATCAATGGCTACTGGCTTCACAATCCAGCAAGCATCCTGTGTGCATCCCGCTGGAAACAGCCTTATGAAAACCAACCAAACCAAAGGGATCTGAATCTGCCTCCTGGGCAGAGAGGATTCACAGAGGACATCACAGCAGACAGTGCAGAGGAAGACTCCCCAGGACAAATAACCAGGTTTCTTCAACAAATAAATTGTGGTAAAATAGAAGAGGATGGAGTGGAGACGGAGGAGACATAAAGAGACACATCAACCAATCTCAGTGCATGGATCTTATTGGTATCTTAACTCAAACAACTCAAAAGGGAGACAGACACTGGAAATTTGAACACTGACCATTTGATGAATCAAGGAATTAATACCGTATTTTAAATGTGCTAACAGTATCAAGACTACATTAAGAAAGTAAGAAAAGGGGCGCCTGGGTGGCTCAGTTGGTTGGGCGACTGCCTTCGGCTCAGGTCATGATCCTGGAGTCCCGGGATCGGGTTCCGCATCGGACTCCCTGCTCAGCGGGGAGTCTGCTTCTCCCTCTGACCCTCCTCCCTCTCATGCTCTCTGTCTCATTCTCTCTCTCTCAAATAAATAAATAAAATCTTAAAAAAAAAAAAAAA